GACCCCCCCCCCCCTTTCATGATGAGCTGGGGGGGGGGGGAGGGGTTCGAACCGGTAGTGACCCCCCCCGGTTTTCCGGAGGGGGGGGGGAGGGGTTCGAACCGGTAGTGACCCCCCCCCGGTTTTCCGCCAGCAGCGGTAGGACACGCTCTTTCACTGAACATCATCATCATCATCATCATCATCATCATCACCATCATCATCATCATCGGGACACCATCATCATCGTCATCATCATCATCATCATCATCATCATCATCATCATCATCATCATCATCATCATCATTATTCGCAACATCATCATCATCATCATCATCATCATCACCAGCATCATCATCATCATCAGCATCATCATCACCGTCAACGTCATCAACATCATCATCATCATCATCATCAACAACAACATCAGCATCATGATCATCGGAAAACCATCGGCGTCACCATCATCATCATCACCATCATCATCAACATCATCGGGACACCATCATCATCATCATCATCATCAACATCAGCATCATCATCATTGGGCCACCATCATCGAAATCATCACCATAACCTCATCAGCATCTTCATCATGAACATCATCGCCATCATCGGGACACCATCATCGTCATCATCATCTTCATCACCATCATCGAGACACCATCATCATCACCATCATCATCACCATCATCATCACCATCATCGGAACACCATCATCATCAACATCAGCACCATCATCACTATCATTGGGCCACCATCATCGAAATCATCATCATCACCTCATCAGCGTCCTCATCATGAACATCTTCATCATCATCGGGACACCATCATCATCACCATTATCATCAGCAGCACCAGCATCATCATCAACCTCCTCGTCATCATCATCAGGACACCATCATCATCATTATCATCTCCATCAGCATCATCATATCATCTGATCGTCATCAACATCATCAGGACCATCAACATCATCATCATCGGGGCACCATCATCTTCATATTCAGCAACATCATCATCATCAACGTCATCATCATCGGGGCACCATCATCATCACCACCATCACCATCATCATCATCAACATCGTCAGCATCATCATCATCGGAACACCATCATCATCACCACCATCACCATCATCATCATCATCACCGTCAACGTCATCAACATCATCATCATCATCATCATCATCATCATCATCATCATCATCATCATCATCATCATCATCATCATCATCATCATCGGGACACCGACGGGACACCGGCGGGACACCGGCGGGACACCGCGGGCCACCGGCCCCCGAGCGGGACACCGGCGGGACACCACGGGGCACCGGTTGCCTGAAGGGAGACTTTTGGTCCGGCCGCGCCTCAGCTACAGGAGGCTTATTTCTCGCCCGCCCACGCAGCTTCGCCTCGCCCGCACTCACGGCACGCACGAACACGAAACCGAAACCGATTTCCCGGTAGGGGGGCTCTCCGTTCCACTTCGATCTCACCCCCTCACCTCCGATATATGGAGATATATTTCTATATATGTATATATATATACATGTACATGAATATACATATACATATATATACATATATTTGTACATATGCGCTGATGACTCCTGTCCGCCCCCGCATGCTGTTCCCAGATGCGCCAAGGCATTACCGAGGCGCACCGACGCGACTCTGCTATATGCCATTATGATAGAGAGGGGGCCGGCGGCAGGGGGCGAAGCCCTTGCTGAGATGTATATATATACACATATATACGTGTATATATATATACATACATATACACAGAGTTGGGTGTATGCGTAAAATTCCAGATTATGTATATATATCTCTCTCTCTCTCTTCTTTTTTTTTCTATCTCTCTCTCTCTCTCTCACACGCTCACGCATGCACAATCCGCCACCGTGCCCCCTGGCACGTTGAGGCGTAGAAGAATGCCAGGGTTTGTATGGTAGGACATCTTGAATTCTAACGAGGGGTCACCCTTCCCTAGCCGCAGACCCTTGCGTGCACAGCCCCTCCTTTCCGAGACCACTTCCCTCGTGCCCGCTCCAGGACGGTGCACTTCCAGGATAGCAGCCCACGCCTAAACCCCCATTCCACGCGTGCCCGCTCGAGGACGGCTTCCTGCATTCCCAGGCGCTGCTCTCAACCGCTCCAGGGCCTCCGAAGCCACATCTCTCGTCAATAGCTGAAGATATTCGTCCCAAGCTTCCAGGACGGCCCGTGCAGGCAACCAAGGATACCAAGATGGCCCAAGATGCCTCGAAGACGGCCCAAGATTGCCCCTAAGGCAACCGAATATACGGCCCAAGATGCACCCAAAAGGGCCCAAAATTGCGACAAGAGGACCTCCAACAGGATACGAAGAAGCCAAAATCATTGATGTCCCGTTGGTTGTTGCAGGAGTTTTACATTATCACCTTTTCGGGCTGCCGTCAGCTCAAGACTGCCCAAGAGAACTCCACGATTGCCCAAGAGGCATCCAAGACGGCCCCAAGACGGCCCCAAAGGGTCTCCCGTGGGGCCCAAGACGGCATGTCGAGCCCCATCGAAGGCAAAAGACGGCGCAAAGACGGCCCACGCACGGCCCAAACGAGGTTCGCCATCATCATCACCACCACCACCACAACCACCACCACCACCACCACCATCATCATCATCATCATCATCATCATCATCATCATCATCAGCATCATCAGTATCATCATCATCATCATCATCATCATCATCATCATCATCATCATTATCAGCATCATCATCATCATCAGCAGCATCATCTTCATCATATTCATCATCATCAGCAGCAGCAGTATCATCATCAGCAGCAGCACAGACATCATCATCATCATCAGCATCATGAGCATCATCTGCATCATCAGCATTACCAGCATCATCAGCATCCTCAGTATAAGCATCATCAGCATCATCAGCACCAGCATCATGATCATCATCCTCACCATCACCATCACCATCATCGTCATCATCATCACCATCATCATCTTCATCGTCATCATCGTCATTATCATCACCAGCAGCGCCATCATCATCAGCAGCAGCAACAGCATCAGCATCATCATCAACGCCAGCAGCAGCATCATCATGAGCAGCAGCATCATCATCATGACCATCAGCATCGTCATCATCGTCGACAGCATCAGCATCGGTATCATCATGATCATCACCATCATCAGCATCATGATCATCAGCATCATCATCACCATCAGCACCAACATCAGCAGCATCAACCTCTTCATGCTTATCAGCATTACCAGCATCATCATCAGCAGCATCAGCATCGTCCTCATCATCAGCAGCAGCATCATAATCAGCATCATCATCGTCAGCATCATCACCACCATCAGCAGCAGCAGCATCATCAGCATCAGCATCATAAGCATCAATAGAATCATCAGCATCAGCATCATGACCATCATCATCACCATCCTCATCATCATCACCATGAGCAGCATCATCATCATCTTCAGTAATATCGTCATCAACATCAGCATCGTAATCAGTATCACCACCATCATCGTCATCATCATCAACATCATCAGCATCAACATCATCACCACCAGCAGCAGCACCGTCGTCATCACCATCATCAGTAGCAGCATAATCCTCATCAACATCAGCATCATCATCAGCATCGTCACCATCATCGGTATCAACAGCATCATCATCAACAACATTACCCCACTGCGATCCTACCTAGAAGTTGGAGCCCCTAGGAAAGCAGCATGAGTTGCTATTATATGTTATGCTATGCTATGCTATGCCATGCTATGCTGCGCTATGCTATGCTATGCTATGCTCTGCTATGCTATGCTATGCTATGCTGCGCTATGCTATGCTATGCTATGCTATGCTAAGCTATGTTATGCTATGTCATGCTGCGCTGTGTTATGCTATGCTATGCTATGCTATGCTCAGCTGCGCTATGCTATGCTATGCTGTGCTGTGCTATGCTATGCTATGCTGCGCTATGCTATGCTATGCTATGATATGGTTTGCTATGCTATGCTATGCTATGCTAAGCTGCGCTATGCCCTGCTCTGCTATGCTATGCTATGCTGCGCTGTGCTATGCTGTACTGTGCTGTGCTGCGCTATGCTATGCTATGCTGCGCTATGCTATGCTATGCTGGGCTATGCTATGATATGCTGTGCTGCGCTATGCTATGCTACGCTATGCTATGCTATGCTGTGCTCTGCTATGTTAAAACTCAGCGAAGCTAAGATGAAGGTAAGCTATGCTAAGGTAAACCTGAGCTAAGTTGAAGCTAAGCTAAGCTAAGATGAAATAAGCTAAGCTAAGATGAGATAAGCAACGCTAAGCTAAGGGGACGTAGCTGGGGGAACCGCGGGGCGGATACTGGGGGAACCGCCCGGGGCGGTGTGCACTGCCCGGCCCCTTTAAGAAAGAGAGTAAGAACCCGCTAGGCAGAGCCTAGGTAGAGAAATATCAGCATCATGATTATCATCAGCATCATCCTCAACATCATCGTCATAAGCATCATCATCGTCAGCATCACCATCATTATCACCACCATCATCATCATCAGCAGCAGCAACATCATCAGCATGATCGTCATCATGGTCATCCTCATCAACATCATCGTCGCGTTCATCACCATCATCAACAGCAACGTCATCATTATCGTCATCGTCGCCGCCGCCACCATCCTCCTCCTACGCCTTTCCCTGCTCATCGTCATGATCATCAGCATTCACAACATCATCAGCAACATCAACAACAACAATGGCATCGTCATCGTCATCGTCGTCGCCGCCGCCGTCCTCCTCCTCCTCCACTCCTTCTCCTGTGCATCATCATCAGAATCAGCATCAGCATCAGCATCAGCATCAGCATCATCATCATCATCATCATCATCATCATCATCATCATCATCATCATCATCATCATAACCACCATCACCACCACCACCACGGCTGGAGGAGGAGGAGGAGGAGGAGGAGGAGGAGGATAGGGAGGAGCGAGGGGGGAGAAGGAACGTCGTGAGCTCGTCAGATACCGACGCCGCTCCTCGACTTCGGCCTCCCAGCAGTTGGATCTTAAGGTAACCGGGCTCTGTGGTCACGCGGGGGAGAAGGTCTCGCTCCATTCGGGCCAGAGTTCCCCCGCCTTGCATGCAGAAGCCTACATCCCAGTCCGCATGAGGATGTTCCACACCCTGCGGCACCGTGGGGAAATGATCCGCGTGCGGCCGCCTCTGTCGAAGCCAGGATGTTCCACACCCGTTTGGCTACACTTCGCGCACGCAGGGGTGACGCACAGAGCATGGCTTCGACAATCAATGAAGATCGCCTCGTCCACACTTCTGCGCGAGTGCGGCCGGGATCACCGAAATACGCCAAGCCAGGATCCGCCAGACCTCCTGGGGCCACTAGGCTGCGAAGGGGATCCACCTGATATGGCCATCGGTCAGGGGGCGGCGGTTACCCTAAAAGCTAGCAGTGCGTCCGGAGGCGTACTTCGGTGGTGCAGCAGTCTTACACAAGGGCGCCTGGACCTCTCGAGGAGTGTGACTGTCAAAAAGGCCTCTGGGGGGGGCCTACGACTCCCTCAGACGGCCCAAAGTAGCCTCGACGAGGTGTTCGACGGGCCAAGGTAATTGAGAATAACCTTGCTGTCCGTTAGCGGACCTTGAGGTTCTGTAGAGCGCCTTGCCGTCCTCATCTCCTCCTCCTCCTCCCTTCTCCTCCTCCTCCTCCTCCGTAGCCATTTCGGCTCAAGTCCAGAGTCCGGAGCATGGAGGCTCAAAGGCTTGGACTGTGGCAAGGGGGAGGTGCGCCCCCCGCCTGCGATCCCTGAAACTTGCGTTCAGGACACTTTTCTTGTGAGCCCCTGGAGGAGCAACTCCGCTGCACCTCTCATGCATCACGGCACAACGGCCTCTCTGTCAGCGAGCTACTGTGGGAACCCATGGGTAAAGCAACTGCCAAGCATTACATCTCGTGCACGGCTTGTCGGTACAGGTGGAGCTGGAAGTCGCGTGCCTTCTGCTCCCAATGCAATGGCACCCTTGCCCCGCTCGAGGTGCCGTGGCGGGACCAAGCCCAAGGTGTCTGGGCGGGCTCGGGCACCCCTCCCAGCGGAAGACCGTCCAGACCACGGGGCGGAAGGCTGCCCGCGAACCCGCCGCGTGAGTGGCAGCGGGGCCCGCGGCCGCAGGCGCTCGAGGCCCCGCGTGGAGCAACCCCGCCGCAGCGAGGCGACGCAGCCCAGCCTGGCGGATTGGCGACCACCGACCTGACGGCGCAGCCCAAGCAGAGGCTGGGCAATGCCGCGGGGGCCTCGGAGCTCCAGGTGCTCGAGCAGGCCATCGGGCCGCAGCGGGCGCCCGCCAAGCCCAAGGCCCCGCTGCCCGAGGTCGAGGTCTCGGCCAAGGGCGCGGCTTGCCCACACGCGGATGCCTACCTCGAGCAGCGCGTGGCCAAGGAGGATGAGGCCCGCGCTTGGCACGAGAAGTGTCGGGCTGCCACGGCGGCGGCTGCCGAGGCGGCCGTCAAAGCCAACCAGGCGTGGCAAGCGGAGCTACAGTTCGAGCTCGACACAGCGGCTGGACACCGCTCAGGCCATGGCAGTTCGGCTTCAGGCGCTGGCGCACCGTCAGGCTCGCAGATAAATATGTCCCAGCTGCTTAACGGCGAGTCCGAGTTTGACACAGTCGAGATCGCGGGCGCCGATCTGCTGGACATCTCTGACCTGCACGTGGACGAGGTGGACCGCGAGCGCTGGCTCGAGCTCACAGCCAACATGGGAAAAGAGATCCAGCAGGCCATCATCGCAGCAGTTGACCCAGCGCGGACAACATCCTGAAACTGCGCAAGGGGGCCCGCGACACGCGGCAGCGCCTTGCGGCCAAGTGCGCCCGCCATAATCAGGGGGCCTCACAGGCTCCTGCGGCAGGCGATGATGGTTCTGTCGCCGATGCTACAGCCGCCGATCTCTACGACGGAGGGCCCAGCGGGCCTCGTGGAGGGGCAGCCAGCGGAGGCGCCTCGCCTGCTGCCAGCACCGCCCCCATCCACGCCCATCGGGGGAAGCCCCCCCACCACGGAGCAGACCGCAGCAGCTGTCCAGGCGGCTCGGCAACGGGTGGACCATCTCATGGAACTAACTCCCGCCACCCGAGGTGCTACCACCGCCGCCGCCCAACCCCGACAGGACCAGGCGGGAGCCGTTGGCCACGATGGCTGGGTGGAGCGCCAGGTGGATCTGGAATTTGGAGGGCCAGACCGAGTTGGACCAGCCGTCGTGGATTGATTGGTGCGAAGCTTGGCTGCATGAGCTACTCCGAGACCCTACGAACGTGGATTTGGCGGCCCCTTGCATCTGGCGCTTCAGTCCGAGAACCAGGACCAGCCAAGGAAGTGTTTTACGAGATGCGGCCACCGAAGCATGCCAAGAGGCCCTGGACCGCGGCCATGGACGGCATGATCTTTTTTCTGATCATGATGAGGACCCTCAATCAGGCTATGTGGGACGAGTTTGCCAGTCACACTGGAACGCGCTGCAGAACATCCCGGACATGTTCAGGACGCTTCTGGACCGCCGACCACGGACCGATTTTTCGGGAACCCCAGCCGTCCTTAGGGAGCCCACGAGCCGCTGGCCAGGGCAGACCTGCAAGGGAGCGCGCAGCGAGCCAGAGCGCGAGGCCGCAGACATGCGGGTGGTCGACGCCCTCCACCTAGCTCAGCCTCCGCCCTGGGCCGCTGGCGAACGGACGGCAGCCCCAGCGCCGAGCGACACCTCGCGATCTGATCAGGGCCGTTTACTGGTGCGCACAGCCGTCCGGGGGGAGCCGAGAGGCCCTGGGCCTGGGCAGGCCCCAACGGGAGGGTATAGATGGCGAGCTTGCGGGGGAGGCTGCAGACACGCGGGTGGTCGATGCCCCCCCCTAGCTCAGCCTCCGCACGGGGCCGCGCACGTGCGGACTGCAGCCTCAGCGCCGAGCGACACCTCCCGAGCTGGGCCGACTGCATATCCGGGGCGCACAGCCGTCCCTGGGGAGCCCAGGTGCCGATGGCCTGGGCAGACCCTAACGTGTGGGTGCAGCGAACAGCGTGGGAGGCCGCAGACACGCAGGTGGCCGATGACCCCCCCCCTGCTCAGCTTGCGCCCTGGGCCGCTCGCGAGCGGGATGCAGCCTCGGGGCCGAGCGACACCTCCCGAGCTGGGTCGGCTGGCGGAGCGCCGAGCTGCGCCATGGCCACCTACAACTCCAACCCCTGAGCGACGGCCGTCAAGTTTCTGGAATGGGCCAAGAAGCACGACGGCACGAGGTTCGACGTGTGTTTCTTCCAGGAGCACTGGGGAAGTCGACAGGCAACCGCTCGGGCCCCAAAATGTTCGCGCGCCGAGCGGGCTGCCACGAGCCCATCGCAGCGGCGGCCGTCACATGGTCCTCGGAGGCGGCCACGCCAGGAGGCGTCGTCGCCGCGACGAACCAGCGCTGGGGAATGGCGAGCATGCGCCACGATCTCACCTCCCACCGAGTGGTGGCACAGCGGGTCCACCTCTCGGGGGCGACGCACGTGCTGGTCCCAGGCTATGGCCACGCCAAGATCGGTCTCACAGGTGGGAACATCCAGCTGCTGCACCAAGTGTCCGAGGTTGTTTCCAGCGCTCAGATCCCTTTCATCGCGGCTGGGATCGAGGCGTCCGCTCTCCGAGACTCAGGCTGGGCTGACCACGTTGGAGCGTCGATTTTGAAGCCTGGAGAGCCCGCGTGCAATGACCGCTGCTACGACTTTTTCGTAGCGAGCAGTTGCCTAGATTTTCACGCGCGCCATGTCACAGCCTGGCTCGACACGCCGCCGGGCCCGCATGTAGCTGCCACCATCTCGTTCATAAGCCTCGCTGGCAAGGCGAAGGTCTGGGAGCCCGCTGTTCCGTCGCATGTTTCCGATGACAGACCTCGACGAAGACGTTCCCGAGCTTCGGGCCCCCTGGTCCTCCCCAAAATTGTCGGGCATGTCTACGAATCAAGCTGCGGCGGCCAGGTTCAACTCCGCCGAGGAAGTGCTCTGCCTCAGGGACGAATGCCATCAGGGCCGCGACAGTAGTGGTGCGGGTGTTCAGCAGGTAGCAAGCTTGCTGCGGCCCCTCGGGCACCTGCCTGGAACCGGGGTCTGCACCAGGGGTCGAACCCGACGACGACCCAGGGGTAGCTTTCGCTTGGCAGTATGGCTATGCCCTATGTGGCGCGCACCAGCGCGCCCGACAAGCAGTGGTAGCGCGCTGCTGCGCGGGGCGAGCTTTGCCCAGACGCACGCGGCGCTGACCTCAGGCCGCCCACCTCCAGCTCGCACTTCAGTTTGCTGGATTCCGAAGCCCAGCGCGGCATGGCGGCCAGCCTACTGCAGAGTAAAGTTGCTCACCGCGTGGCCCGAAAAGCGCCCGAGGCACGGGATCGGTGGTTCTCTTGGGCCCTGAAGGCGGTCGAGGCCAGGCGTCGAGTGGCGCGCGATCTCTCCAGAAGCCCCAACGAGCCTCCGCAGGGGGTGGCCGCGGGCCCTGAGGCCGAGTCTCCCATCCCGCTCGTGGGCCAGGATGCGTTGTGTTGCGTGCTCCAAGACTGGCTGCCCACGCGGTACAAGCCTCCCAGCGAGGGGGAGATGCAAGCTCGGGGCTGGGACGTGGAGCGGAGGATGCTCCGCCGCCGATCACCGCGCCAGACGCGCTGGGAGCGGCGCGCACGGTTGGGCCGTCCACTGGCCTAGGCTGGGGTGCCTTTTCATCCCCGCCATCTGCTGCAGCTTCCTCTACCTCCAGCGGGCGCATTTGCCTCGATCCCGAATCGCTGGGAAACGGGCCCCGAGACGGGGCCGACGCGGCTCATCCTGGCGGTGTTTCTGCACATGGCGACGGGAGGGGGCTGGGCCCATTGGGCCGCCCCCCCTGTAGGCCAGGCCTCGGAGCCGCATCCGCCATCGGGCCTGTGCCAAATGGGAGCCTACAGCGGATGCGGATTATTCCTGGGGCCCCGGCGACAGCACGGCCTGCGAGGGAAGCGCCCGGGCCCGCGGCGCCCTCGAGGCGCCGACCAGGCCCAGGGCCTTGCTGCAGGAACCCTCTTCCTGGATCTGAAGCGCTTCGACGAGAACATCTCCCACGCTGGACTGTTGGCCGCCGCTAGGCAGCGTTCCTTCCCGCTCCCGCCCTTCGGGACGCTCTGCTGTTTATGCAGAGCCCCGCTGCGGGCGTCGTGGCAAAGGGCGATCAGCCGCCTGATTGCGACAAACGGCACGACAGTGGCTGGCTGCTCGTGCGCGATCACGCTCGCGCGCCTGCTGCCTTTGGCCACGCTCCGCACAGCGGCGTCGTCTTGTCGAGCGGCGCGTCTAACGATGCGATTGTTGACGTTTCGTTTCATGCCGTCGGAGGTGAATCAGCAGTCGCTCGAGAGCTCGCGGCCAGCTCTAGGCTCGCCCATGGCACTGCGCAGTCCACGGGGCTTCCGCTCTCCCGGCACAAGGCTGAGGCGCTTGCCTCGTCGCCCGAGTTCGCGAGAAAGCTGGCGTCGGAACGCGAGCTCCCCGAGGGCCCCAGGGCCCAGGTCCACAAGCATCTGGGAGGAGACGCCACCAATTGCTCTAGGCGCAGGGCGACCACGCATCGTGCCCGATGTTCAGCGGCCCGCGCACGATCCGCCCGCCAGGACGCCCTCAGGGAAGCTGGCCCCAGAGCGGCCGCGGCGCTTCGGGCTGGACCCACCTGCCCAGGCGCTTCGGGGGCCAACATCCAAGGCCTCCCAGACGGCAAGCTAAAGTCCCTCGGGGTGGCGGCAGTGATGGCTGAGTGCCGCCTGCCCAGGGGGTCCTCCATCGGGTGCGCTTCGATGTGCACGCGTGGAGGTCGGAGGGGGGACCCCCTGGTGCAGGTGTCCGCCGATGCGCTTCAGGCTAATTACGCACACAAGCTCAGGTCAGACATGCTCTCGGACGTTGCGCTTGAGACTTGATTTGAGCAGGGGGCTCGGACTGCCCTCAAGCCTAGGCCGTGGGCGCACGCGCGCGACCCTGCTTCTGCTCTCCTTCTTACGCGTGGGCAAGGTGAGCTTCGCTTCCAGGGGCCCTGGAAGATCCTTGAACCCTCGGGGCGCGTCTGCGACCTCAGGGAGCCCCCCCCTTGGGTTCTTGGCCGAGCAGGCCTGCGTCGCTGCCCGAGCCTCCTCCGACCGTCAGGCCCTCGTCCGAGGAGGTCCCAGTCGAGCTTGGGAGGCCTCGAAGGTTTCGAGGCCTCTGAGGGAGCTCCTCTCCTGGAGGCCGAGCCCTGAAGACGTCGAGGGGGGAAGCGGCTGCGACGGCGGTGGCGGCTGGGGAGTTCGGGAGCAGCGACCCCTCAGGGGCCGAGTTATCGGCTCGCACTGGCGTCAACACCGCCTGGCTCAGCACGACAGACTTGTCGGAAGACTGCCTTTCCTGCGGCGCGACGGGCACCCTCCTTCACGGACACTTCGACTGCCCCGCCAGGGCCGCGTGGTGGAGGGACAACATCCCCCCTGAAGTTGCCCAGGACGCGTCTTTCCTGGCCTTGGAGCCCAGAGTGCTCCAAGAAAGGCTCGCCAAAGGCCTCCTCCCTGATCCTGGCCAGGATTTTGCCAGGAAGCCCTGGGGCCCGTCCTCTAAATTTCGAGTAGAGGGTTTGCTGTCGCCGCTGGTTGTCCAGGGAGGCCATGTTTTTGTGACGGCTCGTGGTTCGACTTTGAGTTTCCGTCCATCCGAGTGGCTGGCTGGGGCGTAGCCATCCACGAAGCCAGCTGCACCTTCTTGGCAGGCTGGTACGGTTCAGTCCTGCCACACTTTCTCCAGGGCTAGGTTGCCAGGGACGGGGAGGATTTCGCGATCCTCATGGCGTATAAGCCTCTCGCTGGCTCGCTCACGCTTTACACCGACTGCACGGGCACTCTAGCTTGCTGTGTTCGACCAGAGGTTGGGCACGGGCCATGCAACACCCGAGGTCAGTTGTGGGTGCTTGCCCACGGAGCTGGGTGAAGGCCTCGAGGGTATGGAAGCTAAGAAGGTGCCTGTGCATGCCACCGTCCCTGAAGCTGACCGCGTTTGAGCGCGAAGGTAACCACAAGGCCGACGCCCTTGCGAAGCAGGGAGCAGCGTCGGCATGCCACGAAGAGGCTGATCGCATCTTTTTTCGCCCGGTCCGCCCTAAACTTCACTGCCCGTGCGGAGGCGCATTACGGCGACCAGGAAGTCTATGATAACCTCGGGGCCCAGGCGCTAACCACGGTCTCCCTGGAGTCCCCCTCTGGGCACGAGGCAATGGAAGTGGCAGTTTTCTTTCGGGATCAGGGCCCCGCCTGGGGCGGAGGCGATGCCGCCCCTGGACTCAGCGCCGCCCTGAAACGTCGGGGGCCACTGTTTTTGGGAGCTCCCTGTTATCGCAACGGAAGCTGAGCTCCCCAGCCTCTTTTTTTTTGCACCACGTGTGGTGAGTGCGCCACCATCACCAAATCTTCTCGTGGTCTCTCTGGCCGCTGTCTTGGTCAAGGGATGTACTTGCGAGGGGCAGGGAAGAAGAATTCGGACGCGTTTTCACGTCTGGTGCACCCGAGTCGTGCCCACAAGCTTGCCCCGAGGGTTTTCCCGAGGCGAGGACCTCTAATTCTCTCCCTCTCTCCCTCTCGAACTCCCTCCTTTCGGAGCGTCCAATCCTCCTCCTCCTCCTCCTCCTCCTCCTCCTCCTCCTCCTCCTCCTCCTCCTCCTCCTCCTCTTCCTCCTCCTTCTCCTCCTCATCCTCCTCCCCTGTCTCTGCGTAGCTGGCTAACGGCGCTTCGCGTTTCACCTCGCTTGGTTTGCGAGTGAGCCTTGTGGTTGTTGGTCTGCTGCTGGGGAAACAGCGTGCGTCATGTGATCGTCGCTGCTCTCCTGCCCAAGCAGAAGCGGCCTTCCAGACGGCCCCTGGCGTCCCTCGGAGGGCCTCTGGAGCTTCCAAGCGTGCCCTGGACCACCTCCACGGTGCCGAAGACGGCCTCCCGAATGCGTCGTCAAGCTGGCCCAGGATGGCTTCTTGGAAGCAGCCGTTGCCCAATATGGCCAGATGGCCTCTACGACACCCCAGATGGCCCCCGTTAATGTCAGGAAAACGAAAACGGGTACTTACACCCACGCGTGTCGCGGCGTCCTGCTGGGAACTGGCTCCGGGACTGCCCCAGACGCCCCAAAGAGGGCCTCGAGAGCTTCCAGGATGGAGCCCAGACAACCTCCGACGCCCCCAAGATGGTCCGATTTGGCCCAAGACGATCGTCTGGATCGCCCAGCATCAGCCTAGCAAGAGGCCTTACATGGCCTCTGAGGCGATCAAGAAGCAAAGCTGCCTTCGATGCGCCCTTGGCGGCTCAAGCTTGGCCAGCATGGCCCCAATAGCTCTGAGGTGGATAGCCCCCAAGATGACATCAGGCAGCCAAGGAGTGGCTCCAGCATAGCTCGAGATGGCCAGAGAATATATGAGAAATCGGCACGGCGCCCCATCCCACTCTGTGTGCTCGATCGTCGCGGCAAGAGGCTCAGGGGGAGGTGCAACTCTTCATGTGCCCCCCTCCCCATCCTCCTCCTCACATCGAAATCTCGATCTTGCATGGTCGCCCATTTCTAGGCTTTCGCTTTGGCCCAAGTGTTGTGCCCAGCTTTGACCATACAGGCGCCATCGAAAGGGCACCGGGGGGCGGCGGCGACCCGCGGCAAGCAGTCCCGACGAGCTGGCTGGAAGAGCGGCGCTCTACGCCCTCCGCCGATGTGCGGACGCACAGGCCCGACTTCGTATCGGGCGAGCACGATCGAATTAGCGGCCACACACGCCGTCCCCAGGACGAGTAGCTCCGACTGCCCATGACGACGTGGGCCCTGCTCCTGCGACCCTGCCCCCCTTCTGACGACGCCCTGCCCTCCTGGTAGCTCGGGGGTGTGTGGGGGCTCTGCGTGCAAGCGCGGCTCAGGGCTCGTGCATGGGGAGGCAGAGAAAGTGACTCTCGGTCCTCGACCGTGCTCCTCCCTCCCTCCCTCCCCCCTCCTTTCCGACCCATCCTTGCTCACCTATCCCTCCTCCATCCTTCCTCCTCCCTCAGTCGCACTCGGATATTCACCGAATATTCTCGGCATCCGCGCTCTCCTCACGATCAGATTGCCGCCTCCTCGCTCTTCGCCGGCTCCGCCTTCTTCTTGCCCACCATGAACATGAGGACGCCGAGGATGGCATCCCTAGACTCGTATATCGGAAGAGCGATGATGGTAATGGTGGCGATGAAGGCCCAAGCGATACTGATGAAGACCCAGAAGGCCCAGTAGTCCTTGGTGAAGACGCCGGCCGGGAGCGAGAGGACGGGCCACACGATAACCATCAGGATGGTGAAGCCCCAGCCGTACTTTGTGATCCACGCCTTGGCCTCTGCCAGGAACTCCGGGGTGTAGTCGGCCTCGTCCAGGCCAGACTGGTCGTTCTCCATCATCTCAATCTGCCCCATCGACTCGAAATCGTAGTTCTGCGGGCTGGCAAAGGAGAAGCCCGCGTGGATCAGCGCGGAGGAGGCCAGCGCCACGATGTTGCCCCCCAGGTTCGGGTTGAGGGTGCCGAGATTGTCCACCGTGATCTCGCCGAACTCAGCCTGACAGATGATCAGCCAGGTAGCCAACGCGAGAATCATGCCTCCCCACGCAGCAACAATGGCGCCCGTGGCGTTGGCGTCCTTCCACATCAGGACGTTCCACAGGGGCACCACGGCGGAGCCGATGGCGTTGCCCATGAACTGGTACACCCAACCCAAGTTCAAGCCCATGTGGTTTAGGGCCACGCCGAGAGCACCCATGGCGAGCCCGAAGACCACAATAACGACGCGGGAGATCTTGAGAATCTGATCGCCAGTTGCGCTCGGGTTGATGTACCGTCTGTACACGTCGTAGCAGATCAAGGAGGAGACCGCAATACCCTCCGCGGAGCCTGTGGACGTGATGGCCATGAAGAGCATGGTGGCCATCATCACAGCTCCGAAATCACCGAAGAGGTGCACGGCCGTGGCCGGCGGCACCAGGCCAGAGCCAGCCTCGCTCGCGGTGATGGGCAAGCCGAGCGCCACACCAGCCAGACCCAAGGAGGTGGCCAGTGCGAACGGGATGGTGAACCACACCAAGCCGCCCAGCAAGTAGCCCTTGTGCGCGCTGGCCGGCTTCGCTGCGATGGCGGACTGCCAGTAAGACTGGTCCACGAACACGGTGCCGAAATTGCCGACGATGTTGATGATACCGAATTTGAGGCCGCCCAGCGAGAGCATTGTCAGGTACGAACCATCGTTGTTGTCAAGCACCCCGCCGCACGAGTAGGTCCCCGCCTCGAAAAACGTCGAAGAAGCTGACCCGTCTGTCGAGAAGCGGGCCTTGCAGTCCGTCTCGGTCATACCCGCGATCGCCTGCAGATTGTCGTAAATGATATTCGAGGAATATTCCTTGACGTACACGGTGTAGACGCAGACCACAAGGACCAAGAAGATGATTGCCGTGTGCAAGTAGGAGGCCATGAACGTGGCCTTCAGGCCGCCAGCCGCCGTGTACAAGATCACCCCCCACGGGATGAGGAAGGAGGCAAGGTCGGTGTCCACGCCGGTCAGCGCGTTCACGGTGGCGGCGCCGCCCAGCAGCAGCATCGACGTAACGATCACGTTGGCGAGCAGACAGAAGAAGATGAAGGTCAAGTGCGCGGCCTTGCCCCAGCGCACGTACACCAGCTCGCAGACCGTGTGGCACGTCCGTGCCCGCCTCTTCAACTCGATGGCGAGGATGCCGAACAGGAGCACCTGGATGGTGGCGCCGCTGGCGTACCAGAACGGGCCAGACACGCCGTAATTCCAGGCCACGTTGGAGGACTGCAGCAGCGTAGCTGCCCAGGTCCACTGCGACACAATGACCGACGCTGTGAGCCCCGTCTTCACATTCCTGCCGGCGGTGTTGAAGAACTCCGAAGTGATCACCGTGCCGTTGGCGGTCTTGTCCAAGTACACCATGATGGTTGTAAACACCGAGAAGAAGGCGCCGAAGCCCAGGACAATAGCGTAGCCAGCTGCCTGCGGAAGCGGCGGGGTGCCCCCGAAGAAACTCTCCTTGCCCATGTACTCGAGGGGCATTGCCATGTCTGCGATTGAGGTGCGCTGGCCTGGGCGGGACCTTCCGCGATGCAAGTCCTCCGAGCGCCTAGGCCCTAGCTTGATATCAGCCCTCGAACCAAAAAATAGCTGTGGATGACGGTGTTCGTCTGAGCTGGGCGAGGCCGGTGATCTACTGGACCATCTAGTCGCACAGCTCATCTCCATCTCTCCCTAGCCCTGGCCTGAAAATTGCAAGACGCCTCGTGCAGGCCGAAGCACCTGGGGGGAAACCGGCAGCCGGAGGCAAGAGTGTGCCCCTGGAGATCCGCCACCGTGCCATATGCACTGAGTGGAATGTCCTGAGGCCCCCGGAAGACTCCTACACACAATACGGTCGTACCCAGGACAGAAGAACATCCTTCAAGAACATGAGACCCTCCGCCAGCCAAACTCAAGAGCATCCGAAGGTACCCTCCCCCAGGCTGCAAGGACTTGACGAGGAGCGCAATGGCGAGCCTGAAAACCGAACATGACCCAACCAGACCTGTTCACAAAGCTTGTCTGGGAGAACCACGTGGAAAACTGCGACGGAACTCCGAGAACTGGCGTCGTCGTCGTCGTCATGGTCGTCGCCGTCGTCGTTCTTCTTCGTCTTCGTCGTCGTTCGTCAATCGTCGTCGCCGTCGTCGTCGTCTTTCGACGGCGTCGTCGGCGTCGTTTATCGTCCTCGCCGTCGTCCTTCGTTGTCGTTGTTCCCGTGCGAGGCGCGTCTTGGAGGGCTCTTTGGGGCCTCTCGGGGGCCTCTTGGGGTATCTTGGGAGCTCTTTTACCTAACAGCTTGTGCTGATAGGTTTCTAGTAGGGTCAAAAGAGAGCATCATGACACTCCAGGGGGGTCTTGGGGCCCTCGCCAGCCATCTTGAAACCATCTCGGGCCCTCTTGGGGCGCTCTTGGGCGTCTTCGGGGCCTCTTGAGGCTGTCTTGACCATCCGTACGGCCCACGTGGCCTGTCGTGGGCAATTTGGAAGCGGCCCGGGGCAGTCCCACGGGGTCTGCGACCCCCCAAAGGTTCCGGGGGGCGCCCATGGGGGATGATGGCACCAGCCCCGGCCACCACCCCGACCTACGCATATATATATATATATATATATATATATGTATATACAAATATATACATATATACATACATACATACATACATACATACATACATACATACATACATACATACATACATACATATACACCTATACGACCACCTTTCGGGTGATAAGGAGGTTCGGGGAGGAGGAACCAACGTCTCACTCGATCGGTCTCACTATCGATCTCACTATCGGTCTCGCTCGATCGATCTCACTCGATCGATCTCACAATCGATCTCACAATCGATCTCACGATCGATCTCACGATCGATCTCACAATCGATCTCACATTCGGTCTAACTATCGATCTCACTATCGATATCACAACCGATATCACAATCAACGTCATCATCACTATCATCACCACCATCAACATCATCAACATCAACACCATCAACATCATCGTCCTCATCATCATCATCAGCATCATCGGGACACCATCATCATCACCATCATCACCTCATCACTGTCATCATCGACATCATCATCATCATCACCATCATCAACATTATCATCGGGACATTATCATCGTCACCATCATCATCAGCATCAACATCATCATCGGGACACCATCATCATCATCGAAAAACCACCATCAACATCATCTCATTATCATACTCATGAACATCATCATCATCATCAACATCATCATCATCGGGACACCATCATCATCATCATCATCATCATCATCATCATTCGCAACATCATCATCATCAACATCAGCATCATGATCATCGGGAAACCATCATCGTCACCATCATCATCATCACCATCATCATCATCATCAGCATCATCGGGACACCATCATCATCAACATCAGCATCATCATCATTGGGCCACCATCATCAAAATCATCATCATCACCTCATCAGCATCCTCATCATGAACATCATCGCCATCATCGGGACACCATCATCGTCATCATCATCTGCATCATCATCGGGACACCATCATCATCACCATCATCATCACCATCATCATCAGCATCATCGGAACACCATCATCATCATCATCATCATCACCATCATTGGGCCACCATCATCGAAATCATCATCATCACCTCATCAGCATCCTCATCATGAACATCATCGTCATCATCGGGACACCATCATCGTCATCATCATCTTCATCAGCATCGCGACACCATCATCATCACCATCATCATCAGCAGCATCAGCATCATCATCAACCTCCTCGTCATCATCATCAGGACACCATCATCATCATCATCATCATCATCATCATCTTCATCAGCATCATCATATCATCTGATCGTCATCAACATCATCAGGATCATCATTATCATCATCGGGGCACCCTCATCTTCATATTCAGCAACATCATCATCATCAACGTCATCATCATCGGGGCACCATCATCATCACCACCATCACCATCATCATCATCATCAACATCGTCAGCATCATCAGCATCATCATCGGAACACCATCATCATCACCACCATCACCATCATCATCATTATCATCATCACCGTCAATGTCATCAACATCATCATCATCATCATCATCATCACCATCATCATCAGCAGCATCAGCATCATCTTCACCATCGGGGCACCGACGGGACACCGGCGGGACACCGGCGGGACACCGCGGGCCACCGGCCCCCGAGCGGGACACCGGCGGGACACCACGGGGCACCGGTTGCCTGAAGGGAGACTTTTGGCCCGGCCGCGCCTCAGCTACAGGAGACTTACTTCTCGCCCGCCCACGCAGCTTCGCCTCGCCCGCACGCACGGCACGCACGAACACGAAACCGAAACCGATTTCCCGGTAGGGGGGCTCTCCGTTCCACTTCGATCTCACCCCCTCACCTCCGATATATGGACAAATATTTCTATATATATACATATGTAAATGAATCTACATATACATATATATATAGAGAGAGATATTTGCACATATGCGCTGATGACTCCTGTCCGCCCCCGCATGCTGTTCCCAGATGCGCCAAGGCATTACCGCGGCGCACCGACGCGACTCTGCTATATTCCATTATGATAGAGAGGGGGCCGGCGGCAGGGGGCGAAGCCCTTGCTGATATGTACATATATATATACATATATCTATATATATATATATATATACGTATACATATACATATACATATACATATACATATACACAGAGTTGTGCGTATACGTAAAATTCCAGATTATGTCTATCTCCCTCTCTCTTTTCTCTTTTTTGTTTCTCTCTCTCTCTCTCTCTCTTTCACACACTCACGCATGCACAATCCGCCACCGTGCCCCCTGGCACGTTGAGGCGTAGAAGAATGCCAGGGTTTGTATGGCAGGACATCCTGAATTCTAATGAGGGGTCACCCTTCCCTAGCCGCAGACCCTTGCGTGCACAGCCCCTCCTTTCCGAGACCACTTCCCTCGTGCCCGCTCCAGGACGGTGCACTTCCAGGATAGCAGGCCACGCCTAAACCCCCATTCCGCGCGTGCCCGCTCGAGGACGGTGAACTTCCAGCATGGCAGCCAATGCCTGCGCGCCCGCTCGAGGAAGGTGCACTTCCTGCATTCCCAGGCGCTGCTCTCAAGCGCTCCAGGGCCTCCGAAGCCACATCTCTCGTCAATAGCTGAAGATATTCGTCCCAAACTTCCAGGACGGCCCGTGCAGGCAACCAAGGACACCAACACCAAGATGGCCCAAGATGCCTCGAAGACTGCCCAAGATTGCCCCTATGGCAACCGAATATACGGCCCAAGATGCACCCAAAAGGGCCCAAAATTGCAACAAGAGGACCTCCAACAGGGTACGAAGAAGCCAAAATCATTGACGTCCCGTTGGTTGTTGCAGGAGTTTTACAGTATCACCTTTTCGGGCTGCCGTCAGCTCAAGACTGCCAAAGAGAACTCCACGATTGCCCAAGAGGCATCCAAGACGGCCCCAAGACGGCCCCAAAAGGGTCTCCCGTGGGGCCCAAGACGGCATTTCGAGCCCCATCGAAGGCAAAAGACGGCGCAAAGATGGCCCACGCACGGCCCAAACGAGGTTCGCCATCATCATCATCATCATCAGCATCATCATCATCACCACCACCACCATCATCATCATCATCATCATCATCATCATCATCATCATCATCATCATCATCATCATCATCATCATCATCATCATCATCATCATCATCATTATCATCATCATCATCAGCATCATCATCATCTTCATCATACTCATCATCAGCAGCAGCAGTATCATCATCAGCAACAGCACAATCATCATCATCATCATCATCATCATCATCATCATCATCATCATCAGCATCAGCATCAGCATCATCAGCATTACCAGCATCATCAGCATCCTCAGTATAAGCATCATCAGCATCATCAGCACCAGCATCATGATCATCATCATCACCATCACCATCACCATCACCATCATCGTCATCGTCATCACCATCACCATCTTCATCGTCGGCATCGTCATTATCATCACCAGCAGCGGCATCATCAGCAGCAGCAGCAACAGAATCAGCATCATCATCAACGCCAGCATCAGCATCATCAGCATCAGCAGCATCATCATGACCATCATCATCGTCATCATCGTCGACAGCATCAGTATCGGTATCATCATCATCATCACCATCATTAGCATCATCATCATCATCAGCATCAGCATCATCACAATCAGCATCAGCATCAGCAGCATCAACATCTTCATGCGCATCAGCATTACCACCATCATCATCAGCAGCATCGGCATCGTCCTCATCATCAGCAGCATCATCATCAGCATCATCATCATCATCGTCAGCAGCATCACCACCATCAGCAGCAGCAGCATCATCAGCATCAGCATCATCAGCATCACTAGAATTATCAGCATCAGCATCATGACCATCATCATCACCACCATCATCATCATCATCACCATCAGCATCATCATCATCTTCAGTAATATCGTCATCAACATCAGCATCGTAATCAGTATCACCATCATCATCATCAACATCAGCATCATCAACATCATCACCAGCAGCAGCACCGTTGTCATCACCATCATCAGTAGCAGCATAATCCTCATCAACATCAGCATCATCATCA